TCGCCTCCCTTCACCACCTCTCCCCTCCAATTATCCATCCTCCCCACCTTCCACCTTCCGCCTTCCTCCCAACAACAACAACAACCACCTCACACCACACCGCTCCGCCCACCACCGCACTTTCCACCCTCTCAACAGCATTACCCGCGAGACGAGGTCACTGGTCGATGTTGCCACAACTGGCAAACCTTGCCACGATTATTCACTTCGCAAAGCAGATCCCTTCAAAGCGCATGCATCAGGCTTGCTCAAGTAGCGCCGCCTATCGAGAATTGCAGACACGAGGAAGACAGTTGTGAGAGGCAGCCACCAACACACACCATCACATCACTCTGTGCCTCACCTCACACGCGCACCAAACACCGACTTTTTGGGCGATAAGTAACTGAAGATGTGGCCTAATAAGAACGGGACAAACAGTTTTGCAAGAATACGCTCTGCTAGACGTGCCTTCTCTCGTTCCTCCTCATGTTGCTTTTGTGTATTTAACGGTGTCAAGTCACAATACATAGTTATCAACCCCTGGGCAGTCAAGTGACTTTTCGATCAACGTCATGCAGACGTGTAAGCAGTCGCTATTACGCAGTTAATTTTAGAGCTCTCCTTTGGACGATACGATGCATCGGCGGACAACCGGTGCAAATTTCTCGCCTCAAAGGCAATAGAGGGTGTCCGATGATGTAATTTACCGCTGCCTATTTAAAACGTGTCACATTCAATCTTGTCGCCTATTTGCAAGTGCTAAAAGAACACCAATAGACATTCACGCAACCTCCGCATAAAAATGTGCACCCAACTGGCCGTAAGCATTTCACGGACGGATGCAAGTGGAAAGTGCGGAGACATCGGAATGCATTCACACTTACATTTACTGAAGGAAACAAAAGTTCAGCACCGATCAAAAGGGAAATAAACAGTATTTGGTACACCCAAATCAAATGTAATGCAGTTCGATTGGAGTGGGCGTCACTGCCAATCGGCACTGGGAAGTGTTTTAGTAAGGCATACTGACTCTCACACCACCACACTACTTCCTGTGAAAATGTGTGTTTCTCGTGATTACTACCATAAATACAAGAATACTTTTGGTGAACTTTTGCCCTTTTAAAAATGCAGGTCATCATAGCGACAAAAGGCGAGTACGCAACTACCTCAATCCAATGTAGTTTTGTGTTTTAGATGAAAAAAAGAGGTAGTCAAACGATCACTCGTAACTGTTCAGCCTGGCTCATTGAAGCAAGAAATGGAGAAAAGGAAAACACTCAATCCTCCATGTTGCATCGCATAAGAGGAAAATTGGTGAAAGGTTAAGATAACAAAGAAGTGAAGTTGTAAAGCTGAAGGACTTGCAGAACTCACGAAATTCCATCGTACGTGGCAGTCACTCCGGCCATTTGATTGGCCGAACAGTTGAGTCCCAGCATAAGTACGAGCACAGTCGCCAAAGTTGCGAATAGGGGCACCAGAGAGGAGAGGAGAGTGCGTGTGATGGAGGGACGAAAGTGACGCATCAAAAGGGCACCTGTTAGGACGCCCAAAACAGCACTAGGCACGACCACGGCACCTTTAAAAACACAATTTCATTCGTTAACACTCACAAAAGGCTTTTTTATGTAAGCCGTTTGTCCTGCTCTTAGTAGGTCATACCTTCAGCTACTTATCGCTCAAAAAACTGACGCCTCGCCATAGTCGGTGTTTAGTGCGTGTGTGGTGAGGTGCAGTGTGATGTGGTGAAATGCGTGTTGGTGGCTTCTACTCACAACCGCCTTGCGAAGTAAATAATCGTAGGAAGGTTCGATAGTTGTGGCAACATCGACCAGCGACTTTGTCTCGTCGGTAATGCTGTTGAGAGAGTGAATAAAGTGCGGTGGTGGGCGGAGCAGTGTGGCGTGAGGAGATGGTTGTTATTAGAAGAAAGGCGGAAGGTGGGTACGATGAATGATTGGAAGGGAGAGGTGGTGGTGGTGGTGGTGGTGGTGGTGGTGGTGTGGAGGGAGGCGAAGGGACTGGTGTTGGGATGTGTGAAAAACTCTGACGTGTGGAGGAGGGTGGGCTACCCTCGGTTGAGTTGTTTTTTGGTTTATGATACGAAATGACTTCTGACATGTTATTTCACGGCAAAGTAGAAGTGAGACAAAAGGAAGACAAATAGTCATATGAAAGATGTTTCTCACTTTTCTAAATGTAAAAGAATCATTGAATGCGGAATCGATATCTCTTAAAATCCACCGGACAGAATAGATTTATTGTTGCTGCCATTCACTTGGTTGTTCGAGTTGTCTTTTGCGTAAATAACGTGGAATAGACATCTGCCGATGCCATTGACAAGAATATGCCTAAACTCACCAATGCCTCAGAGAAATGACTTCCAGATAAAACAGCTGCTTTACTTGAGGGGGGAGGAGGAGGAGGAGGAGGAGGAGGAGATACATTAAACCACATCAACATAAACACACGTGATCTAGACCCTCGTTAAAGTTGTTTTCCTCTACCTGAATTCTGATAACCTATTTCACGCTTGTCTTTTTAGCCACTGCTTTAAAAAACCATTAACTTGGGTCATTTAGCAATAATGTCAAACTAACTGGTTCTCCATCATAAACTGTGATGCTGAATCATCAGACCTTCCCATTTACAAGTCAATAAAGAAGTTGCCGAGCTACCCAAGTAAACAGCAGTGCCATGACAGTCCCATACTGGGTCGCCTACTTTGTTTTCCCACTAAAGACAAGTAAAGGAGCGTCGACTTATTGACCCTCCTACTTCCATATGGAAAATTGTCTAGTGAAAATCTTTATGATGCGAAAATCTCAAATGACTGAACATAAAATCAGGACTGAGCGAACCCACATTTTTGCGAAGTTGAATGCAGCAATGCCACCGTCCTATTAACCTTTGACCTGAAAATTTATATGCATAGCAAGTAGGCCGGATACGAAATTGACCCAAGGTTTTGCCGACATTAGATCGGTCAGTTTGAATTAAGCAGCATATGAACTTTGAAATTTATGGAGCAAATACTGAAACAGAGCGAACCCAATCTGAATGGTCTTTAACGCCATGGCTACGACATAGCGCTCACCTGTATGAATGCTGGCGAGATGAGCAGGTGTGCGAAACTGGGCCTGTAGGTACTTGGCGGCGTAGGTGAGGTAGGCCGAGACGATGGTGTTCTCGGTCACCGTGGTGGCTGTCACACCAAGCCAAATGGGGTTGGTTACTACGCGCCAAAAGACGTGTGTTCGACCTGCAAGAGCAAAGGAACG